CTAATAATGAGTGAGACTGAATTTCCCACCATTATAGCAAGACAGACTGGAAAATGTTACCTTTTACTTAAAGGGTGAAAAAAATGACATATTTTGTACCCTAAAGTAAAATATTTATCTGGGGTGTGTGTATGTGTACGTGTGTATACTTCCATATTATCAGGAGATTGCAAACCAGAAGTCAAATTCTAATAATAATTTAATAGTTTGGAACTATGGACACTATGTAAAACTATGTTTTTCCATAAAAACAAAGACAAACTTTTACTCATGGAAAGTAGATAATCAGACTGGCTTTCAAAATTTTAATTTGTTATATATTTACAATGAAAAATATTATTACAATAGTGATAATTCAATAAAAGAGGGAAGAGTTAGGGGAAAAATTTTATCTTTCTTTATCATGAATGCTGGCAGTTGAGGAGAAACAAATTGTTGGGAGCTGGGTTTTATTTTTTCTAATTTGCTCAAGAAAGTAGTGAACAACTTTTGGGTTGGTCGATCTGCACCACTAGTTAGCAGATGGTGACATTGACCCAGCACTGCTTGGTGGCTCCTTAAGGAAGGTCATGGAAAAGTGGTCTGTGGGTCCTATGATGGAGAACCACTCTCAGGCCAAGAGGCAACCACCATCGGTGTCTTGCAGTGGGCAAGTTTGACATGTGCTCTTGGGAACTTTGACCCTTTTTTAGTCACGTGGGCTAGGATACCACATACTGTGTGACCATCTGAGTTTCCACTCTGTGGGGAACTTTCACTTTTTTAAGCTTCCAGGATGAGCTTATGCAAAAACAGGGGGCAGCCACCCTCCTATGTGCTTGAAGAAACACTTTTTAGATGAGATCCTGCCAAAAAGCAGCCATCCCCACCAACCCTACAGAGTAGAAGAAACATAGGTATTAATGTCTTTGGATCAAGGCTCCTAGTCAACGTATATATTTTCTGGGAAGGTAATGCTTTCTCCTAAAATTTGAATTAGTATCTCACTTTCACTGAGAGTGAAAATAAGAAAACATGCATATGTCAGATGACCAAATGTCAATAGTGAATACGTTATAGGGAGACTTTTCTTCCCAGAGTTAAAAAATAGTATAAAACAACCAATTACATTTCATGCAGATATCTTTTCCCATCTAAAGAATACTGAAAATGGTGAGAAGAATCCATGGTAGTACTACCAACTAAAAAAGATCTGCCTCAATGAAAGACACAGACAGTCTTTTACTGGAGATTACCAATGGCTCCTTCTGCCCCTCTGCCCCTGGAAATGTGGGATCCCACACCTGCAGGACAGAGACGGTGCCCTGCGGGGGGCTGGCTGTGTGCCAATAAAGAAGAAGGAAGACAGGGAGAAAATTCATACAATTACTCTAGACTTAGCCCAGTGTCTAATTATCTTACAACAAGATTCCTGTCTTCTTAACTCATCTTAAATCTTAACCACTTCGGTACCAGCGTCTACTATAGTCGACAGCCACAGAAGAACACACACAGTCAAGCATCGACTTTAGCTGAGAGCCGTGATATGACTTTTCTAATTTTTCACTTATCAAAATAAAATTGTGAACATTTAAAAATAACATAATGAAAACATATATGTATATGTTACCTATTCTGATATTTACATTACAAGTAAAACTGCCTGTAAAATAAAACAAGCTTTCAGTGTTTTAAGCTTTCCTCTTCACACAAGAGCAAAACGGATTCGTCGTCAATGCACAGCACAAACTATCGTGCAGACAATGAGTGCCGGCTGTGGGCAAGGTTTCGCAGCCGGTGAGTGCCATGCTGAAGTGGTTAAATCATGTTTCAAGAAATAATAAGGCAGCATCTTTTTATAAATTAACATAATCACTAGCCAATTTGAGCTTATAATGTTATGCCCTTATCTTGAACTATTACTCGTGCATTTTAGTCACTTCAAATTTGGAGCAATTCTTCTTCTAAGGGCTTTTTTGAAGCTTTGAACAAATGATTATTAGCCTTTCATTGCATTATTGTAAGTCTCACCAAAGTACTGAGACTGAAACCCAGATAGAGACCAAGAGGGCAGAGGCAGAGTGGCACTGAATTCTGTGTGCTCAAGGAAGTGAGACAGTGTATTTCAGGGCTTCCATTAGTTTGCGAGGGATGTCATGACAAAGTGCCACAAACAGGATGGCTTAAAAAAACAGACATTTATTGTCTTACAGTTCTGAAGGCTGGAAGTCTAACATCAAGGTGTCAGCGGGGACATGCTTGCTATGAAGCCTACAGGCAAGGATCCTTCCTCGCCTCTTCCTAGGCTCCAGTGGTTTCAGCAGTCTTCAGTTTATAGATACATCATTCTAAGTCTCCGTCTCCGCGTGGTGGTCTTCCCTCTGTGCATGTTTGTCTCTGTGCTCCCACACCCCCTTTTCATATCGATACTAGTCATAGGATTAGGGCCTATCCTAATGACCTCATTTTAACTCTATTACTTCTGTAAAGACCCTATTTCCAAACAAGATTGTATTCTGATACTGTAGGTTAGGACTTCAATATATCTTTTTGAGAGGACATAATTCAACACATAACAGGGATGTCAATGAGTACCAAACAATGATCTGAACTGTAAAAAATATATCAAGGGGCAGCCTTACTACTTCTACGGACACTAAAAAAAGAAGGAAAAAAAAAAGCTTTTTTTTTTTCTGAATGATTTCTGAATGATTAGAGAGGAAAAATATACAGCAGTAGTATACCCTCAGAAAATCTTGTAAATAGGGGCAACAGAAAATGAGGATTTTCTGAATGATTATAGAAAGGTTTCTGAATGATTATAGAAAGGTTAGAAACATGAACTACTATCCTGGAGAGTTGCCCATAGAGTAATACTATGGTTTGAATGTTTGTGTCTCCTCTAAAATCCATGTTGCAACTTACCCCCCAGTGCAACAGTTTCAAGAGGTGGGGCCTTTAGGAGATGATTAGGCCATGAGGGCCCCGCAAAAGATATGTCCATGTTTTAAACCCCAGAACCTGGGCATGTTACCTTCTTTTGAAAAAGAGTCTTTGCAGATGTAATTAAATTTAGGATTTTGAGATGAGGTGATCATCCTGCATTGTGCAAGAGGCCCTAAATCCAATGACAGGTGTCATTATAGGACAGAGACACAGACACAGAAGAGAAAATGAGGTAAAGACATAGGCAGAGATGACAGTCATGGAATGCCAACAGCCACCAGAAACTGGAGATGCAAAGAACAGATCGTCCCCTATGGCCCCAGAGTGAGGGTAGCCTCCCAAACTATGAGAAAATAAATTTGTCATTAAGCCACCCAGTTTATGGTATTTTTTGTTAACGGGCTTGGGAAATTAATACATGGTCATTTCCTTGCATAGTTTGGAAGAAAGTAGAGGCTCACTTTTTACAATATCAATTCTGATGGTCCAAGTTTGGGTCACAATAATTTCCCATCATGCAGCTCGCACGTCACATCATCAGACATCTGTGCCTATGACATGCACCAACTGACACAAACACACTCAAGTGCAAAGCAAATAGGACAATATTCATTAATCGAAAATTAACACATCAGGAAAGAGGTAGGTGCATTGAAATACAGCAGGATAAGGTAGGGAGCTGTGAGCTATTTAAGGAGGAAGGTCAGGAAAGAACTCTTTGAGGAAGTGATATTAGAACAAAGACTTAAAGGAAGTGAGGGAGTGAGCTGTGCACAGATCTGGTAATAAAGTCATTTCCAGGTAGAGAGAACAGCAAGTGACAAGGCCTCAGCAGGTATCAGTTGTTTTGTTTGAGTAACACCAAGGAGGACAGTGTGGCTAGAGCGGCCCGAGCTGGGCAGAGGTCCTGGAGGTGACAGTCCTATGGACTTTCAGGCATGATAAGGACTCTGGATCTATTCTGAATGTGCTGGGAGGGGAATCAACCTCTGTCCCCTCAGCAGGAGGGTGGCTCGCAGGTAGTTACGTCCCCTGGCCCAGGCTCAGCAATACCTTCCTCCCACCAGTGGAGACAGAAATTACCCACTCCCAGGTCGCAAGATTATACGTCTGCCTCACCTGGACCAGAAGATAGTTTCCCTGGATCCCAACACTTGGATCCCTTCCAAGGTGTCTGAAGAAGCCTGATTATTAAGTGAAACTTCCTTTTCACCTATTGGGGGACTGGGAGCCAGGACCAAAGTGGTAAAGTCAGGCTTTGAATCCCATTAAGGCCTTAAATGCCCTAAATGAATGGACGATGGACTTCAGGAGGGAGTAAGACAGGTCGTTCCTGGAGAACACTGAGCAGGTAATGGCGGTGTGGACACCACGCGAGGCGCGCTGGGGACAGCGCACCGTGCACCCGCCCCGAGAGGCCGCACCGCCTGGGCCCGGGCAGCTGCGCCCTGCGCCCTAAAGCCCCTTCTTTCTCTTGCCCTTACTTTCCCCTCTAAGCCCTCATTTTCCGTTGCCCCTATTTACAAGCCTTCCTGAGGTTGTACTACTGCTGTGTTTTTTTCCTCTCTAACTTTGTAATGGGGCTTCTCTCAGGAGAGTGCCCGAAAACTCCCGCCCTGCCCTGACGGGGCTCCAGGGGCTGTGGCTGTCCGCGGTGTGTCTTTCTCGGGACAACACTTTGTAGGACCCCACTTCACCCGCACGGCCTAGTGCCCAGGTGTCCGGCCTACGACCACGTGTCCCTCTCAGGTAACTTGATACCGGCAGACACCCTTGTGGCTCTTGTCCGCCCTGTGTCCACTTTATTCCTACCCAGGCAGCCACTCTCTAGGAGAGCCCTGCCCAGGTGCCGGGCGGGGCGACACAGAGGAGGCAGCCCCACAAAACACCCCAAATAACAGACGCAGCGCACCAGGCACGGAGCCAGGAGAAGGGGCAGCACACCTCGCCGACAGGGTGTGGGGAGCCATCCAGGACGCAAATATTTGACCCGCAGGTAGGGAGAAAGAGGAACTGGGGGGTCAAGGCCTCCATTGTGGTTGCCCAGGCAGGTTTCCCTGGGCGAGTTCCTATTGGTCGGTTTGAGGCGGGCTGGCGCAGGCGCGGTGCAGCCACCCTGTGACCGAGGGTGTCGATGTGGCATATCCGCACAGACCACGCAGGGCGGGAGGTGGGCCGGTCAGGTGGCTTGTGCCCAGCTGTCCCATAGGCAGGGGCTCACCAGGAGCTGTTGTGCAGAGCAGATATCTAATCTAGATGGACCACCTTGAGCAACGGGGAGGAGGTGGAGAACTGGACATCGTGCCAAGCCTGGCTCAGCCTGCTTCTGGTAGGAGACAGTTCAACTTATGTTCAAAATTGACGCTGAGGCACAGTATAAGAATTCACTACAATTCACCTCTGGAGGCCTTGGCGTCCCTTTTCAAATGCAAGACAGTTGTGGTTGAGTCTCTGACTGTCAGAGACTGTGGTGGAAACGCAGAAGGGGGAATGGTAGGAAAAGACACAGGGAGTGGGCAGTCCTGCCTCCAGGGAGCTGATAGGAGGCAGGGGCCTCCTGGAAAAAGAAATCATCTCCGTTAATTCGAATAACTTGTACCAGATTTCCCTTTAGAAAATGAAATGAAAGTATAGGGATGTGCATTTAAGCAGAGAGGGAGGAATGGGCGAAGGAGACAGTGAGTTCAGGATGAAAAGCAAAGAACGTCCTTTGTACGTGTTGTGTCTTAGGAGAGGCCGTCCATGGCATCACTGGGTGGAGGCTTTGGTGTCTGGGGTGAAGTAGGCTCCAATAGGGGGAGCAAAGTTATCTCCAGCAGTGAGGTTTCCAGCCACAGAGATGTGATCCAAGATGTGCGACTAAGGTATCCTTTTCAAGTGGGACCCTCTCGAGTCGATGTGGGGGCCTTTGGGGTGTAAACCATAAAGCACTCAAACCTGTAGCAAGAGAGCCAGCAGTCAACACAGCTCTGTGCAGCTGCACCCAACAGGGTTTTGTCTTGGGAAGAAGCTCAGGTTCAAGCAGTACCCATATCAAATGAGCAGCAGCCTGGCCTGTGGGGCAGTCTGTGGTTCATGATTCCAGGAGAGTAGTTGCCCTCAATCAGACCTCCAGTCCTTGTGGGATGGGGAAGATATTGAAAATTTATAAAAAATAAGTTAAAGCCTGAGGTGAGACAGAGAACAATAGGGGTTTATTTGTTGGACTGAAATTTGAAAAGGAATTATTTGAAGATATCCTTGTGTCTCTCAGTTAAAGTGCCAATTTGGGGCCTCTCAGGGACATAAATGTTCTTTCAGATGCCTCCTTCAAGAACCCAGCATTGTGGACTTTAGGAAGTGAAATGTGTGTCTGTAACTCTAAAGGGAATAAGGTGTGTTTTGGCAAAGCCTTGTGTTGTGGCCTTAGTATTAAAATATGTGGAAACATGTCATTTTGCGTAATGTTTTGGGTATCTATGAAGCAAGAGATTTTCAGAGTTTTTTGTTTGTTTGTTTGTTTGGGGTCTTTTGTTGGGGGGGGTTTGTTTTTTACCTTGAAGGGACAATTTTTAGATAATGGTTCAAAGGTTGATAATAAATGTGAAAATGGGACTATTTGCTGACCAGGGCATCCAGTGTTAAGATAACTGCCTAAAGTTTGATTAAGTGTGTTGCTTCTTGGGCCCCATCTTTTATTAAGGACATCCAGGCTAAGGGATGAAAAGCAGCAACATCCCACTAAGCTCCATCATGTATGATGAGTAGTAATGCCTTTGCATGGTCTATGAACTCCCACTGCTGTTTGCTTAGTTAATCCCAAGGGGCTTTCCAAATAGTGAAGAGTCTACGGGAGAAATGACCTCCTCCAGCACCCTGGCATCTGGCAAGGGACTGAGGACAGGGGAAGCCACCCCCTCCTGCAGGTGGAATACACCAGAGGGCCCAGGTTTGTCTCCATCCCAAATTAAGGTGGCCTTGGTAGCCGTGCTGAGCTTGGGGGTTGCTGTTGCCATGACCCAAAGCACAATGGCAGTTGGGTATGGGGGTCACAGGTGCAGGGTCAGTGAGAGTCTCTATTTCCAAGAGAGCCCTGTTGGTAGCCACACATTTGTTATTTAAATGGTGTAAAGTGCAAGGCTGAAAGGGGCAATTTCTTGCATCAGAAGCCGTGGGCACCACATGGCTGTCATAAGTGGTCCAGAGACTCCAGGAGGCATGAAAAGAGGCTGCCAAAGCTTCCATAGTGAAGGAAGGTCTGAGGTCACTAACAAGAGTGCCTGATTTAAATTTGTAACTATAATTTATAAATGAGGAATATGTTGGCACTAGGACCCAAAAAGTGCTAAAAGATAATGGATTTATATGTTCTTAATGAATATGTCAACTGATTCTCCTTGGAGGAGGATGCCATCAATGTACTATAATGTCATTCCTGTGTTTCAGGAGCGGGGGATGTCATTAAGATCTTGTCTGCAAAGATTGTGTATGACAAAGCTGTTGAGATGTCCCATGAGTAACCTGGAGAAGATATTCTATCTCATGTCCCTTTAGAGCTGAAGGCAAGCTGCAGCTGAGAGGCTACTGAAATAGGTACTGAGCAGAACATGTGGGCCAAATCTATAAGAGCAAAATATATACCAGATTGATTGAATAGAATCAGTAAGTTTAATAATATAGGGTATTGGGGCTGTAATAGATGGGCCCATAGCACTGAGGTTGTAGTAATTTATCATAAGACAAGCTTTATTTTTCCCAGATTGGAGAACAGAAAAAAATAGGGCTGTCAAAAGTAGAAACAGTGGGGATCATCAGCCCTTTATTAATTAGGTTTTATATATGTGATTTTTAATCTTTGAAGGCCCTATTTTAACTTACACTGGGGCCATATTAACTATCTTAAGGGGGTTCATAGGATTCCATTGTATTAAGCCAATTTGTAAGTGTCAAAAACTAACTTGAATTTTAATTTATTACTCGTTGTGTCAGAGCCTCTATGCCTAATAAAGAGCATATTACAGCAATGAGTACTATGACTACGGGAAATTTAGGAAGGGCTATATTTAAAGTGAGGCATACTCATTTTTCTCTATTTTATATCTAGTTATCTTCTTAAGGTTATAGGGGAAGGGTGTTTAAATTTAGTGGGATCTCCAGGTATAATTATAATTTGAACTCAGTATTGATTAAGCCCATGAAGTTTTGTCAGTTAGTACATTGTAGTGATTGTTAAAAATAGAATCTATGTTGTACAGGCATAAAGCCAATTAGTACCCCTTTTTCTTTTTGTTATATAAATTCTTTGGTGTATAAATTTCAGATTTCCAATTGGATCAAATTATGGGAATTTTTAAAAATTTAGTCATTCCTATATACAAATTTATATTTTATCTATTTATTACATATTTATATTAAAATAGTATATATAAGTGCATATAATTTATTTGATTACCTTCTTCCCCCCTGTATCTAGGGGTTTGTTTTTAAATTAGTGAGTAATCTAAGACTAACATTAGGTTTGTTAGACCTGGCATTTGTTCAGTACTTAAAGTTTAAAGTTCCATTTTTTCGTTGTTTTTTTTCTTGAACTTGTAGCTGCCTAAAGCTGCAGTCTTTTTTCCTTTTTTTTTTTTTCCCCTTGGATTTTTATTTGTTTGGTTGGAGTTTTTTTGTTTGTTTGTCTGTTTTTTTTCTTTTCTTTTCTGCTTTTAGGGGCCTGAAGCCCCAGTTTTAGTTTGTGTCTCTAGGAGGAGGAAGGAAAGGGCGTTGCTTCTCGACACTAGCCTCTATCTGGCATCCTCCCCCTAGATAGTCAGTCTCTCAGTCTCCCCACACCACTGCCCACTTTTTAAGTAACAGCTTTAGAATGGCTCTTTTTAGGCACGTAAAAATTTTTTTCCCTCTTTCTTTGAATGGTTACTTGACAAGCTCCTGGTTGTCCGAGGGGCCCCTGCTGGGAGTGAGGTTCCCATTAGCCAGTTTGTAGATAGCTGCCTCCCTCTTGGAGATTGACCTCATTAGGGTCCGGGGACAAAAAGGACAGAGCAAGGGAAAGCAGCAGCATAGAGGTTGCGGACCACAGTGGCACCCTTGCCAAAGTGCGTCATTATTTCCTTGTAAAGGGGGAGGCATCCGTGTGTCAAGCTGGGAAGTCCAGTGACCTCCCTAGACGCTGCCTCCCCAGCTCAGCAGTGGCCAGAGTGTGGGGCTCCCTCCTGCACTCAAGCACTGGCCCAGCATCTACCTGACGGCCCCCACGGGGACGGGGAGCAGAGGGTACCCCCGTGCCTCTCAGTAACAAGCCCTTCGGCCACCTGGCTAGGCCTTTAGCTTACAGTCAATTTCACTCTGCCCAGCAGTTCCTGTTCCGAGGAGCAGCAGCAGCTGCGGGTGTCAATCGTGGTCGCCTCTCTTGCCTTGTTAAGGCTGGCAGTTGGCGGTCCCTGAAAGCCCCCAGACGTTCTAGGACCCGCCCAACGTAGGGAAGGCAGTTTGGGAGCTCTCAACACAGTGCACACAGCGCAGATGCGCATTGGCCCACGTGGAGCCTTCCCAGATGGGTGGGAGGGACAGTTAGGACGGCAAGGGCAGTCTGGAGGCATTTCCTTTTGCCTGTCGTGGTCACGACTGCACACCCCGCTCATTGGGCCGATTGTTGTGATTTCCGCTGTGATAGTATCTTCCTAATTTGGTCTTGAGGTCTCTTCCTTGAGAGTGACCACAAGCCAAGAAAGCCACTCTCAAGGAGAGCCCCGGGTGGGAATAAGGGGAGTTAGGTTTAGGTGTCAGTCAGATGAGATACAATGAGGAGGTGAAATCAAAACACATGAAACAGAAGAAATTTATTACGTCAGATCCCAGGGAGGTTGGGGTACTGAGGGATGGCGCTGTGCAGCCTGGAGGCAGCAGGAAGCCCACCCAGCGGTGGGAGAGAGGACCGGAGAGAAAGGACTGACTGTGCCTTTATCTGTGGGCACTGTCCCTTAGGCTTTCCCCGGGGGCGCTGTGGATTGACTAAAGACATGAAGGCAGAAACTTATTTACATGACCTGGTTTTGTGTTGCAATGGGTTTTGGGTCAGTGGATGAGGAATAAGTGGTCTTTATCACAAACAACCGCAGGGGTGAGGTTTTGACTCTGCCAAAGATGATAGGTAAAACTGGGTTTCAAACAACTTATGTCAGGCCTAAAATTGGATGCGGAGGCAACAACTATTGTACACAAATTTATGTCAACTGTTCTGCCCTACAGAATAATGAGGTCATCCTAGTCTTTCAGAAAAACATTTTGCCTTACAATTTCCACAGCCTCAGGCAAGTGCTAAATGGCAGTGTTTTTTTCTTCAATGCTTAGTGTCAGCTGGCTCCAAAGAGAGCAGAGGTGGGCACGGTTTCAATTTCTGCTCGTTATGCTACTGGCATTGGGGGAGGCAATGGGCAGGCTCTTCCTATGAATGGAGGTGGATGGTGAGAAAATATTACATAGATTTCACCCTTGGCACTGGCTGCTTTTTCCAAAAGCATTTGGAATCAAATAACCTTTGTCATCATAAAGATTGTACTTCTGAGGGCCATCCCATTACATTAGAAATTCACATTCCTTCTAATAACATGAGTTTGACCATATTTTTTATGAAAAAAAATAGTAACTCAGGACTTATGATACTAAGGAAGCATACATCTTTTCCCTCCTTGGGTTTTACTACAAAGCTTCTTCCCACTGTAGACTATCCACCCTCAAATTGACCTTCCAGATGACAGCAGGTGCAAGAGCAAGCCTAGTAGAGATCAAGCAAGTAAAACCACCTTGCCAACTCAAAGGCTTCTGGAAATAATAAATAGTTTTTTTAAGCCACTAAGCTTTGAGCTTATTAACTTAAATACTTAACAGGAAAAGGGTCTATTTGATTCATTTTTGCTTTCTTTGGTAGACATGTACTAATGACAGTGAAATTCATTATTTTTAGGTAAAAAACATATACAGTAGTCCTCCTCTTCTCCACAGTTTCACTTTTCACAGGTTCATTTACCCACAGTCAACTGTGGTCCAAAAATATTTAATGAAAAGTTCCAGAAGTAATCAATTCATAAATTTTAAATGACTTGCTGTTCCGAGTAGCATGATGAGATTTCACACCATCCTGCTTCGTCATCCTGGAACGTGAATTATCCCTTTTTCCAGGGTATCCACACTGTGGATGCCAGCCACCGATCAGTCACTTTGTAGCCATCTTGGTTATTGGATCAAAAAACATAGTACTCTCTATGTAGAGTTTAGTAGTATCCACAGTTACAGGCATCCACTAGGGGTCTTGGAACATAGCCCCTGAGGTTAAGGGGGACTACCGTGTTACGTGTGTATTTATGTTGCTACCAGCCACCCATGAATGAAACACATAGATGAATGAGACATAGTTTCCACAATGAAAGATATATCATAATGTGAATTTGCTTTTGAGACTAATTGTTAGATAAATAAATTTGTAGTTTGTATAACTAACATGCAACACCTTTTAAGAGTTTTGAGTATAAATAATTATTAAGTGAAAAGTTTGTTAGACATGGGCAGAATTTATGAAATGCATTAAGTATAAGTAGTTAGCAAGTAGAATGTATGTTTAACATAGAGTAAGACTGATGGAAGGATCAAGAGATACCTAACATTGATGAAGCACCTGGGTACTCAATATATATGAGACTGAATATATCAGAGGCACTAAATATATCAGAGGATACACCATACATGAGCACTTAGTATTCATAAAGTCTTAATCTAGCCACCTATTGGCGACCTTCATTCTGGCTTCATATGTCCTCTGCCCAAGAAAGGTAAATAAAACTTGAGGCTGTTCAGTGGGCTGATTGGCTACAGCTGTGCCAGGAGTGCCTGTCTTTGTATCTCTTCAATAAAGCAAATGTGTGTGTTTGGCCCAAGAAACCTTCTATCTATGGGCCCCCTTGCTAGATCCTCAACTCGAATCCTCATAACCACCATCAGCTTCAAAGGATAATTCAGTGCACCCATGCACACGCACATACACAGAGAGGGCGCCAGGAGGCAGCATATGAACATTGCACACCCTAGGACTCAGGTGGCGTGGTCCTTTCACCCCACTTGCACTCAATCCTAAGTATATTTGTTCACCCCATCTCTTTTCCATTGATTTTTTCCCTGTGAGCTTTAAATTGATTTCATAAGCCATGTGATTCAAGCACTTGATCTGTGAGGCTTTCTGTTCTGTGACCTCTGGGGTCGCTTGTCTGTAGTAGACTAGGAGGTTGCCATTGCAACAGGTGATTTCCCACATGACACGTGAAAAGGTGGAAGAACAATGCCACTTCACTGCACAGTAGGCTGAATAGTTCCCAGAACTTCCATTATCTCAAAGCTATTAAGCCTGCATTTCATTCTCTGCTTATCTCCAATTCCCCCACCTCCTCTCTCCCTCTTTGTTCTACCCAATGCTATTTGTTCCTCTGACTGTAGAGAGAGCTGCAGGTAGGAATGTCTCTGGCTGGAGTTGCTCAGCCTACTAGAATGCTTCCAAGGGTCTGATTTCCTCCAGTAGCTGTCTGGAAGAAACTTCTCTTTCA